AATTTTTGGCCGCTTATCCAGGGTCGGGTCGCAGGGGCAGCAGTTTATGCAGGGAGGCTCACACTTCCCTCTCCCCAGCCACTTGGACCAGCTCCTCCAGGGGAATCCGAAGGTGTTCCCTGGCCAGCCGAGAGACCTAGTCCCCTAGTGTTTCCTGGGTCTTCCTTTAGGTCTTCTTCTGGTTGGATGTGCCTGGAAAACCTCACCAGGGAGGCGTCCAGGAGGCATTCTAACTAGATGCCTGAGCCCAGGCGCGCAGATAGGGTGGGGGACGGGGGAGATCTGTCCTCCCCAGATACAGATCGACCCGATTCGTCCCCCCCAACTAAGGCCAGAAAGAAAACAAAATCGGAGGTTAAGCGCTTGAAGCTACTTTTTCCAATTACATTGAATGCAGCATGACGTAAACAAACACAGACTCCAGAGGCGCCAAAGTGGTTGCTGCTAGGATGCAGGATGACGCGAAAAGGCAAGCAACGATTACTGCGTATTTAAAAAAGACCAACAGTGTAAGTAGGCAGGACCGATCTGTCTGTTTATGCGTGTTGGTTATAGATTCAGTACGTTGTTGTCGGTGTTGGGACTTACTCGTTATAAGCGCCAAAGCCTCATTGCTGAATTTAACAAGTCTCATCTACAAATATGATCCCTCATGAAGCTACTTCTTTACATCAGAAGATAGTGGAGATGTGGAACCTTCAGGCTGAGCAAAGTTTGGGAGTTTTTAGAGTTTGAAAAATGCCTCCCGCCGAGAGGCTCCCAGTCGGGGAGAGGAGATGTACGCAACATGAAGAGCGCAAATGTTAGATAAAACGTATAATTGCTGGCAGGTCTGTCTTTGTTGACTGATCACTTTGTCTGGTCATGACTGACTCTGATTATGAAGCAGAATATTGACTCTGATGAAGAAATTCACTCATCCATCCGGGAAGATTGACGCTGCTGCAGCATCAGACAGCTGGTGCTGCACGAGAGGTGTGTGGAGTTTACAAGCTCCAAACGTTGGGTTTAATTTTGTTTAACCTTCTTTGGGACGCGATAGATGCAGAAACGATGGTAAAACACCGCTAACGTGACAGATGTAGCGACAATGTTTTTAAAAAGCTGTAAAAAGGGGTAGATGCCGATGTGCTAGATTTGGAAGTCAAGTGTGCCACATAATCATAAAAAAAGTAAAATATAAAATTTAAAAAGAGATTTATATATTTATATATAAATAAAAACTTTCCAAATATAATGAAAATTTCTAAATACGAAGGAGCATCTGTTGGTCAGGCTGAAAAGTTTGGGAACTACTGCTCTAAGTGAAAAGTGAATTTCGTTTTTTAAATATATTTTATGTGCAGTTTTTTAGGGTTTTTATGTTTTCTGTAAAGATTGGTATTCTGAAAATCATTTAATGTTTTGCATAAAGCATGATGTTTTGGTTAGTGATTGATTGGGAGAATAACAAATGACTGAATTAAATAGTGGGGCGCCTCTGTCAGTGTGCCCCAGGGCAGCTGTGGCTACATCGTAGCTCATCACCATCAGTGTGTGAATGTGTGTGAATGGATGAATGATACACTGTAGTGTAAAGTGCTTTGGAGGCGCTATACAAGTGCGGATTATTTATCATTTATAGTGTTGATCAGGTAGAGCTTTGTTGCCAGTGTTCCACTGCATAATGGCTTCAAACACATATATAAAAGTGTTAGTTTTTACGTAAACTATTGGATGAAATTACACAAACTGACTGAGCTCTAGTTAAGGCGCTTGCAATAATTTGTGTATGTGTACATGCGTGTGTGTGTATGTGTGCGTGTGTGTGTGTGTGTGTGTGTGTGTGTGTGTGTGTGTGTGTGTGTGTTTGGGGGAGGGTACATTGGAATTTTGTCCCCACCAGTTTGAAAATCCTATCTGCGCACCTCAAATGGCTCCTCTCAACGTGGAGGAGCAGCAGGTCCTGATGAAGTCAACAGGACCGCATCATCTGCAAAAAGCAGAGACTCAATCTTTGGCCACCAAAAAGGAACGCCTCAACACCTTGGCTGCATCTAGAAATCCTGTCTATAAACGTTATGAACAAAATCGGTGGAGTCTTGGCGAAGCCCAACTCTCACTGGAAATGAGCCTGACTTACTGCCAGCAATGTGGACCAAGCTCTGACACAGTCATACAGGGACCTAACAGCCGGTATCAGAGGACTTGGTACCTCCAGGACCCCCCTAAGGGTATAGAGCTGGTCCAGTGTTCCACGACCAAGACGAAAACCACATAGTTGCTCCTCAATCCGAGGTTCAACAATCCTTCTGACCAGGGGCGTAGCACCAAATTCTGGGCCCTAGGTACAAGTCTTCTAGGTGGGCCCCCATGCTCAATTACTTAATATCTCTCTTAAACATGTTTTGTCATGCTATAAGACAAGATAATAAATATGATCTTAGTTTAACCTCTATATTGAGCAAATACAAATGCCAGCATAATAAAAGTGAAATGCCCAGACTTCACATATAATTATTTTTATTTGCCAACAATGTGTTCAAACAAAAATCCTGGAATTTATTTTCCAGTAAATGCCCACTGGCGGGTCTTCATGTTAGCAAAATCACTTATGAGATCTTTAAAGTCCAATCCTTTGGCTAATTGGCTTTCAATAGAAAGAAGAGCTAGGCTGTTCAGTCTATCCTGGGACATTGTTGATCTCAAAAAAATTTTCACCAGTTTCAGTTTGCTAAAAGCCCGTTCACCCCCAGCAACAGTCACAGGTATGTGCAAAATATCCTCAGTCCAATACAAACTTCTCCAAAAATGCTCTGTAATTGCATCCTGTATGGCATTAAGCAGCTCAAGAGGAGACCGAATGTGTGGAAATGTGGCACCATATATTGTTCTCAGGTGTAGCATCTCATTCTCAAATTCAGCTGTGAGATCCTTGTAATATTTTCTCATCAGTGCCTGGCATGATATCTTCATCTGTTCTTCAGTCATGTCTGTCATGGTTCATGATGTTAAGCTTTGCTGATATGTATTGATATATTAAATACATATGACATGAAATAAACCAGGTTCTCTCTGTTAATGTAATGTACTCTAAATTTTATAATCCCTGCATTATCAGCCAAATTATAAGATTGTCCGTTTTCAAGATCAAATATAAAGAAATTTAAAATAGGCTTAAAATATCTAACCAAGTCAATAACTATCCTCTAACACCAGTGTCATCATGCTATACGAAAAACAATGGCAGCTTCACATTCCTGAGATTATCACGAATCCATCTATACCAAGTTTGTCCTGGTCCATGACTGGGAAGGAGCTGAAATATCCACACAGAGTGAACCTGTTTTTACTGCGAGGTCCGCAAATTAATTGGCGGCGGCCGCCCGCGATAATAATTCTGATTAATATATATAAATTAATTAGTGTTATCACTGATAACACTAATTAATTTATATTTGATCTTGATGGTGAAACTAAAGGCGTTTAACACTGAACACCTAACATGAATGCAGCTTCTGAGAGCTAGCTAATATCAGCTAAAACTGTGTTCTGCTGCTGCTCACCTTCCTTCTTGAAAAACCTAGTCAATACTTGCTTCTGTTCAATTAACTTTTTCTCCTTCTTTCCTTTTCTGGAAGCCAGATTTCCCTTTCTTGGGAAAAGACATGACTGACTCTCCTTTCTCCAGCTCTGGCTGTCGGCTAGTGATGTGTCGGTCGCGAACGAACCGGCTCTAAGAGCCGGCTCTTTGAAGTGAACGACAGGAGCCGGCTCGTCATTGGGAGCCGTCCCCTCCCCTCCCCCCCTCCCCCCCTGCCTTGGTGAAAGCTACATGTGATTGGTCAACATGTGTAACTGCGTGTCCAGACTGTCCACACACAGAGCAGTAGAGGCGGGGAAGAGGGAGGATCAGACTCAGACAGACACATAGCAGAGCACATGCGGGTGGAGGGAGACGAGAGGGAATGAGGAGGAGGAAAAAGGCGAGCGAGAGAGAGGAGAGTGCGACGAAGACGGTGAGAAAATGAGCGCCAGCAGTAGGGAAGTGGAGATTTCTTAAAGTGTTCAGTTATTAAATCCATAGAAATGATAAATATTTGATATATTGCTTTTTTTTACATTAGTAAACTATTTTACATATAGTTTAGTATTATTTTGGTTATAAATATACTCTACGCAACAGAAAATCTGAGGAGCCACTTGGGAGCCAAAAGAGCCGGCTCTTTTTGGTGAGCTGAGCCAAAAGAACCGGCTCTCTAAAAAGAGCCGGAATTCCCATCACTACTGTCGGCATCTGCGATGTCTCATAGCTGTACATGCGGCTGTGCAGCCCCTGGCCGCTGGTGTGGACTAAACCACTTTGCACATTTTTAAGGGGTGATAGATGCCTCAGAGATTATTCAGTTATTATTTTTAAGGCGAACTTCTGTTTCTTAACCTCTTTATCCAGGTAAAGGGAAGTTTATTAAGACATTAAGTAAGTTGGGGGGAAAAAACAACAACAATAAAACATTTTTATTCAAAGCTGTCACAGGGCCCCTCCCTGCAGTGGGCCCTGGGTAAACGGTACCCTTTCTCCCCCCAGTCCGATGCCCCTGCTTCTGACCCTCATCTCCAGAAGCCCTGAAAATACCTTACCAGGGAGACTCAGAAGTGTGATCCCTCTGTAGTTGGAACACACTCTGTGGCCCCCCATTTTAATTAGGGGACCACCACCCAGGTCTGCCAGTCCAGTGGAACTGCCCCCGATGTCCATTGCAATACTGTAGACAACATCCAGAGCCTTAAGGAACTCTGGGATATACTCATCCCTTATCAGCTTGTAAAAGTCCACGTTTAGACCTTATGATAAAAAAAAAAAACAGGATTTTAACATCATGGAAACTTTTTGTGTTTACTGATTACTGCTCATGAAACATTGTTTTGTGTTTCTCTGTGAAACCAAATAAACGTGTAACAACCGATTATCAATAAGTAAATCTGACATATGACTAATCATGTTGTCCAAGACAGTTTTCTCCATCTGTTGAATAAATACATTTTATTTCCAGTAAATTCAACTTATTTATACAGTTTGTTTGTTCAACTGCAACACACTGCATTACGTTACCAGTAAGCATAGCAGGTTCATGTACAATCTGCTGTTTCTCTCTTTAAAATCAGGATTATGTGTCTTTAGCTGTTTGACAAAAATTAAAATGTGTAAATTATAAAATAAAAGCTGAAACATCATACAAGATGAAATAGGTCATAATTACAATAAAGAACTATAAAAACAAAAAATATGCCAGAATAAAAGTGTACAATTTAAAACCTTTCCATACTGAAATGTTTGAACCTGAACACATCAGATCACCTGCCTTTACGGACTTGTGCGTACAAATTATTATCTGCTGGCTCAGAACGACCAGGTCTGTTTGTAAACCTGACTTGTCCGTACTCCACCCCCTCCTCCTGTACACACTGCTCCACCTGCCTCCTCTGCTGCTGCACGATCCTGACGTCAGCGTAGGTCATCTCCTGCTCTTCTCCCTCCTCTGCAGGAAAGGAGTCAAAATAGTTAAACTCAACAGCCCCTTTTTAAATTAATCTGAAATACAGAAAACAAATCTAAACTGTATCAGAGATAAGACATAACAGCTTCTGTCACTCTTTAATTGATAAATTTGATGGATTAAACCAAGCCCCTTGCTCCTCCCTCCTTTACCAAACTCTTATCAGACTCAAACGGTGACCATATAAACATTCCTAAGCCTTATAGTAATGAACATGCAGCCCAATCCCAATAACTCAGGCCTAGTCCACACATACCGTAGCTGTTTTTTTTTTAAACGAATATCCGCCCCTCCCAAAACTTGCATCCACACCACCTCGTTTAAAAAAAAAACTCTGTCCACACGTACCCGGATAAATACGTTGTTAAGGACATGCCAGACTTGTAGGTGGCAGTACTTCCCCCATCTTAACCTCGTCCTTCGTCTGTGGTCTTCCGCAAGGAGCACTAATTCCGCTTGCAAAAACAAACAAGCAAAAAGCGCTTGGACAACTGATAAAGCGAGCGCAGCTCTGAGGGCATCCATGCTGTTGGCTAGTGTAAACACAGGTCGCACACGTGATGTCAGCATTTTTTTTGTCGCGGAAAGTGACGTTGCGGACCTTAAAACTCCGGTTTTGTCTGTCCACACGCAGACACCCAAAACGGAGAAAACGCAGATCTTCACTTTGGCCGGAGTTTTTAAAAAGATCCGTTTTCGTGTGAAAAAACTCCGTTTTCGTGTGGATGACAGGCCAAAACGTAGAAAAATATCTACGTTTTGGCAGATCCCCGGCTACGTGTGGACAGGGCCTGAGATAGGTATCAGGGTGTGGCCATCTGTTGGGTTCAGGGGCTAGGCCAGGGGGTGAGGCATAATCCATCAAACGTGTCAACTACAAAGTTTATGAAGCAGTTATATTATATTTCTTGTACCTTTAGGTTTTTGTCTTTTCTTCTGGCAACAGATCACAGCTACACCGACCACCAAGAAGAACGCGAGAGCTGAGAGAACCCCGACCATGACGGGCCACTGCTCTGCTGCAGAGTAAAACACAGGAGATGCACAGGTTTGATTTATAAGGAAGTTCACGTGTTTTTATGTAGACATAAAGAGACACAACCCTAAGCAGCAGAGTCAGCTTTCACTTACTAAAGAACCAAAGGAGATCCTGAGTGTCAGTTTGATTGGAGGACGAGTTAATAGTGGAGGAATAATTTAACTCTGTCTCCTTACCCCCAGTGTGTGTTACTGCTGTAGGGGCTGGTGTTGGTTCTACACACAGAGTGTTATTTTCTCTAAACACCCACTCAGATATGTGAGTCCCATTGGAAGTGCAGTTAATGAAAATGAAGCCTGGGAGCAAATAAAATGATAATTATCAGTCTAAAATAAATCAAGACTCTTCCCCATGATGCTGTGACTCACCACAGGTAGATATGTCCTTTTCTCTGGAGGACTCACTGACTCGGTTCCTGACTGAACAGACCAGACGTCCCGAGATATTTTGTCTCAGAACGATGATGTTAGTCTGACTATTTCCAGAGAAGAGCTCAGAGTCTGTCAGTGTGTGTCCATCCAGAGTCCAGCTGTACTGAGGACTGTCCCCTTCCTCAGAGGAGCAGGACACCTGCATCTGTCCCTGGGACCAACACTCAGAGACCAGCTGGACAGACGACACACCAGCTGAGAGAATCATGGGATGAATGAATGTTATTATAGGAAGATGGTTGCTTTTTAATCTGGTTTACTAAAATAGAAGAAAATGTGCAGATTAGTAGTTTAAGATTTACTTCAAAAGGTCTAAAAAGTTGTTTACCTTCAACAGACAACAGTAGAGTCCTGTTTGCTGTTGAACGTCCATCTGAATTAAAGTTCTGAAGTTTATATTGTCCACTGTCATCCCTGATCAGGTTATTGATCCTAACTGTTCCAGTACTGGGAATAAAAGTGACTCTGTTGTCCCTTATGATAGTTGTATTATTTTTACTTCTCCACTGGACTATCATCGAGCCATTCTTTTTCCATTCTAATCTGGGCATCTCTGCAGCGTTGTCCACCAGCTGGATGTCCACAGCTCCTCCTAAAGCTCCGACACACTGAGCTCCATCCTGTCTGCCGTCACAGAAAGTTTCTACAGCTGGAAATAAAAAAATTAATAAATATTTCATTCATGAGAAAATGAATCCTTTTTGTGATTTAACTTTTACAATGATAGGAAACACACTGGTCACATTTATCTAATACTGAAACTTGATTTTGCTGAAACGAACATTTTTATTAGACCAAATAAACCTTTTATTCATCACATCAATAAGGATTAAAATACCAGTTAGGGTTCAACAATGGGTTAATAACTTTCTGCTGCTGTTAGTTTCTGATATGATGCTGGAACAATAGCAATGGCATTAATACTACTACTACTACTACTACTACTACTACTACTACTACTACTACTAATAATAATAATAATAATAATAATAATAATAATAATAGGCTAGCCAACCTAAAAAGAAAATGAAATGCTGTATGTTAACACATTCAGTGACTATAATATCTTGTGACTGAGGCCAGATTTGGAGTAGAGTTTGATCCTGATGTCAAAAACAATATTTTACACAAATCAGTTTCCAAATTTAGAGACTGAAATAAATAAGTTTATATTACACCTAAATCCTTTTTAATGATAAACCTTCTTGATTCTGCAGCAGCCCCACGATGAACATAGCAGATATAAAACCTTTAACAGGAGCGACAGGCTGCAGTTACACTAAAGACATTTTACGATAAAGTCACAAAAATTAAAAAGAGCATTATTTTAATAAATAACATGATGCATGGAGCCCAAAATATTTCATTGAATTAACAGAGTTTAACTTGTTGAATCTTTAAACACAAAGCTAAGAAAGTTAAATGTGAAACAGCTTAAATCTCACCCTGAAAGACCCCCATCATCATCAGCATCAGCAGCAGCAGCAGCAGCAGTCCAGCCTCCATGTCTGCTCAGCTTTCAGACTGGTTCTGAATTATTTCTGAGAGCAAACATGGATGTTTTAGCCTGATCAACCTGCAGCGGGTCCTGTTAGTGATCCGCCTCAGAGGAGAATGTGTGAAAACCTTCACCAGACAGTTTTTATCTGTATTCACTTCTCAGGCTACAGCAAAGGAAGTGATTTCAGTTTTACTTCCCTTTTTTCTGCCAACAAAAGACAACATCTGTGTGTCTGATAGATGAGAGAAAAATTTACACAGGTTCTGAAAAGAATTTGGACTAAAATACTGAATTTATTTAAAGACAATCATGTTCAGTGTCTGCATCACTAATCATGTTTATCTGATAATGTTCAGGTTAGAGAAATTATTGTTGCAGCAAATATTCAGATAAACTAAGACAGCAAAAGAACACTACAGTAAGAGTGGGTGGTAAACAATTGTGAGATGAATATAAACTTATTTAAGGTTTTAAGGGAAAACACCACGTGTCAGGAGGAATGTCACCTTTCTCCCATTTAAACTAAACAACAGATGGAGAACAATGATAGAAAATTAATGTGATGTTTCAATAGTGATCCATTTAAATACATTGTAGTCAATCATATTTACAATAAAACATTGATGATTTAAAATGGTTTATTGTCAGTTTTTAGTCTTTTATTTTGAGACATAAAATCACTATTTTATTTTGAAACAACAACAACAAACATGTTTACCGGCAGGGGGAGCCAGACTCATCCTGATACTCATGGAGAGTTATTAAACTGATGGAAACCTCCAACTACAGGAAGAGTAAAAAAGAAAAAACAAGCTGGTATTAAAATTACTTTATAATATTAACACATTTAATACATATAATGTAAAATAAATACAATAAAAATAACTTTTATTTTAACAAACCTTTCAGGTATTTTAGGTGCAAATATCAACATCAGCTATTAACTATTCTTCTCTAATGAACGACAACTCAGCTGCAGCTTGTGCAAAATCTCTCTGTGCTCTCTCTCTCTCTCTCTCTCTCACACACACACACACACACACGCACGCACGCACGCACACACACACACACATACACACACACACACACACACACACACACACACACACACACACACACACACACACACACACACAAGTATTTATTTAAGTTCCTGATTAGCAGCAGTAACTCCTGCATGAGGTGAACATCTATGTGTGTTCACACAGAGCTGTTTCATGTGGTTTTAGCTGCAAATGATAAACACTTTTAGTAAAGTTCCTCTTTAGAAGCTGAGCGTTTCTCACATCATCCTCCTTCATCTGTCTTCTGTTAGAGGAGATCACTCAGTCATGCACATAGGACCTTGAGGGGTGGGCAAGTCAGGGGGGCAGGTATGGATCCCATTTCTGCATTCCTGTGGCAGCCTGCCCCCAATTTTATGTGCACATTAAACACTTCCACCAACGACATTTCACGCAAACACACACTTAGGGCCTTGGGAGTGAGCACATTCAACGGCATTTGACAAGGGGATTTTTCAGCCTCATCCCGAGTGCCGGTGCCCACTTCCAATTTTAAACTGCACTTAGACACAGAGGGCTGTGGGTGCAAGTGGGGTGATGTGGTGGCATCAGCTGGCGTAGGCCAGACAATGCCTGCACTGTATCGTTCTGAGCTGCAGCTCACAGGGCTTCACACGCTAGAATAAACATCATCAAGTCATCAACGTGAACTGTCACATGATTATCACTCACCTAATCACCTGTTTTGACGTCATTTCCCCGCGAATCATAGATCTATTTGTAGTCCAAGTCTTTTGGCTTTTTCTTGTGCTTTGTTGCAATAATACATTTAGACAAACACATCCTACACACATCACACACCCACTACAAACTCCCAACACACCACTACGAACGTTTTGATGAATTGCGGACCCACCAAACAGTACAACTTCCTGGAGGTGTACAGCGCCGGATGAGGATGAAGTTTCCGTTTCCTCATCCGCCCCAGATTCTGCTGACAGTGGGGAGGAAGCTGACTTTATCAAAGGAGTTGATTCGTTGTACGACCTGTATGTATAAATTCATGAAATATTCTTTATTATTGTTATTATTAGTGAGAGTGAAGGAAATCTAAATACTACTGAAAATTTTGCTACAAATACTGCTGAACAGTTTTGTTCTTTTCTGTGTGCAGTTGTGATGAAGTTGAAGAGGAAACTGAGGTCTCCTGCACCTCTGAGACTTCCTGGGTACCAGAGAGAGGCAGAGGAAGAGGAAGGAGTCAGAGGAGAGGACCTCCAGGAAAGAGAGGCAAGCGCTCCAAGTCAGAGACTGTTTGTTTTCATGAAGCTGAATGGAAAAGTGAAAAGGACCCTGACAACTTCTCACATCCTCCACCACATATCCTGCCAAAAAAAGGCCAGGTACACAGCCACCTGTTACAGAACATATGAACAATCCTTCTCCATCTGAGCTGTTCAGGATGTATGTTGACAGGGCTGTTATCAAAAACTCTGTGTGCCAACACTAATAAAAATGCAGAAAAAAATATTGCTGCAGCCAAAAATTATAATAGACTGAGGCGACGGATCCTGAGATGTATCAGTACATCGGGATAACACTGTATATGGGGATTCTAAAGATGCCAAAGGTCAGAGATTTTTGGCGTGCCATATCCCCCCAAGATCATGTCCAGAGACTGGTTCCTCACCATTACTTGGAATATTCACATGAGTGACCTTGTGGAAGATGCCCTCAATGACAGCAAAAAAAGGCTCAGATGACTATGACTGCACAGAATGCGCCCCCTGTAAGGCAGTTTACGTGTAGCCTGCAACCCTGTGTACCACCCCCAGCAAAACCTCTCTGTGGATGAGCGTATGGTTTCCACTAAAGCCAAGATTGCCATGAAGCAGTACATCCAAAATAAGGCCAAAATGGGTATAAAGCTTTTTGTTGTTTCTGACAACACAGGCTACACTGTTGACTTCAGCATCTACACAGGGAGGTCCTCTCTGGATAATGGGAAAGGGCTGTAATTTGATGCTGTGATGTCACTCATCCACAAAGCCTACCTGGGATCTGGATATCACATTTACTGTGATAACTTTTACTCCAGCCCAGCTCTGTTTCACCGCCTTTATGACACGGGGTTTGGAGCCTGTGGGACTTTTCGGGACACAAGAATTGGCATCCCAAAAACTAAAATTGATGCCCTAACAAAGAAATCTCCAATCAGGTGGATCAGAGAGCGAGCTCTAGTTTTTATAAAATGGATTAATTCAGTTTCTAGCTGACCCTCGAACCAGCCAATTCTGGAACAAGCATTTTGAAACCATCCTATCTTTTTACTTCAGGTCAAAACCTCTCTGCAACGCTTGGTGATATCAGACAAAAGGGTTCTTCTAAGAGCCAACGAATAGCCTTAGACGCAAACAAGCATTCCAGCTTCCCGTCATGACCTGGAGATATCTCAAGACTAGATGGGTCGTATTGGAGCTAAGCTATGACTTCCTGATTCCTAGAGGTCCATGTCCATCCTGACCTTGTGACCCCCTGGATCTGAACGGGGGTTTTCATACAAGGGTGCATAGACTTGGCACAGATTGTGTCAGATGGTTTTTATAAACAAATTAGCTTATCAAACCAGACAGCCAAATTGATTTTACAACCCAAACTCCACAAACTCTCTCAGATACTTAAGAAAGGTTTTGCTAAAACATCTAGCTTCCATTCCATCATTTCACACATCACATTAAATCACTTCATATCCATTCCATCCTTCATACCTTGTGTAATGAATTAAATTACATGTTATTTAATAAGCCATAAGGCGTAGGATTCCATAGGAAATATGAAATCCACCTTACGGATCTGTGAGGTTGTTTTACGCCGGGGACACACCGGCCGCGGAAGCGCTGCGAAGCGCCGAGAATCGAATCGCTCACGAAATTCGGTCGCTGCTCGCCGCTCCTCAGTTCAGATCAGACGCGCCCCAGTCGAGGCGCACCTCAGCTCAGCTGTAGTTTTTCTTTTAAACACTTGGTGTCCTCCATTTCCTCCCTGCCTTTTCTCAGCTCTTTTCCTCTACGTTTGTGTGTGTGTGTGCGTGCGTGCGTGCGTGCGTGTGTGTGTGTGTGTGTGTGTGTGTGTGTGTGTGTGTGTGTGTGTGTGTGTGTGTGTGTGTGTGTGTGTTTCTGCCAGTTGAATCTCTTGGAACCCGCTCCAATTCTGCAGCTGTATGCAGTTTCTTCTGAAATGGGTACGTAAATAATCATGTTTTTCGAGGGTCGTACAGCTCCTTGTGTTTCCTAACTTCCATAATTAATTTAAAGTCATCCATCTTAACTGCTTGCCTCAGACTTTCTGCCTCTCTGTTCTGTTTGCTCCGATGAAAATACACCCAAAACCACTCCCCCCTTCACGCGGTCACACACGCACACAAGTTTGATGTGTGTGCGTGTTCGTGTGGTTTTTCTGCAGTGTCTGATTACGAACACATTTGACTATTGCGGAATTTTATTTTGAAATACTTTATTTTGTTAACTTTACCGGCCTGCCTCTTATGTCTAGGTTTGACTTCCTGCCAGAATTGACGGGATTCACCCGCGGCTCGCGAAAAAAATAGAGCCGACGCCGAAATGATCGCTGCACGGCGCGGGCTGGAGCGCTGGCGCGAGGCGATTCGTGGCGCTTCGGCGGCCCATGTGGTCTATGGAATAGCTTAACAAGGGCGCCGAATGAAGGCGGTCCCATTTTCGCGGCGCTTCGCGGCCAGTGTGTCCCCGGCGTAAACCAGAAGATTGGAACTTTTTAATGTAGGTATTAGATAACAGCTTCGTATTCACTCAGAGACAACAGGAGAGAGAGAGAGTCAAGTTTAAAAGTTAAGAATTTTATTACTAACAAATTAAACTAGACTGACTTTAAGCACTAAATGTATGGTGTAACTAAGGATGATGAGACAGTGAATGGATGACGTGTGATGTTGCTCAGAACCAGCAAATCCGAAGAAGCAATTAGTTCTGATGGGAACTGAAGGGGATGTCTTTGCATTAAGCTTTGTTTAGGAGATTCATAAACACATTCAACGCCATTTGCCGGTCTACCTACCCTTCGTGGAAGCCCCCGTTAGATCAGGAATGTCGAGGTCCAGCTTGACCTTTTCTGAACCGCAGTCGGTAGGAAAAGCCGCGGTTGCCGACCAGACCAGTCTGTGAGATGCTCCCGGATCACGACAAATTTAATGGCGTCTGACTAGGTCTGGGTCTTGATGGTTCAGCTTTTATTCTGAAAGGAACCGTTGCAGCAGTTGGAATAACAACAAATTTTCCAGCTTGTCGTTGTTGTTTTGGTTGAAGAGGAGAGTTACGGATTGGCCACTCCGAAGCATTCTCTAGAACGCTTTGAAATGGCGTTAGGGATGACGTGGCATAGTTTTATATGTATACATATATATATATATATATATATATATATATATATATATATATATATATATATATATATATATATGTATATATGTCAGGTGGGGCCTTTGACTCCTCCCATCTCCTGAGACTTCTTTTGATGATATAGATCTTCGTCTCCCCTCCCCCTGCCACACCTGGTGTGAGGGGTTGTGCCATGGTCTGCCTGAGTGTTCGTGGCTCCCGGGTCAGGGGGTTTAAGATTTTTGGCATCTGCCTGATCAATCCCGGTGGCTGCCTGGTGGGGTCTGGGTCCCTGGGCTCTGCTTGGTCCCCGGCAGGGGTGGTCGCCCCTGGGTCCCGGGTCGCTGGGTCCCGAGCTCAGCCGGCTAGGGGGTGGGAGGCTGCGGGCGGGTCTGTGGGCTTGCCGTTAATATCTCCCAGGAGTCTGCCGGCTGCTGGTTGTGGCCCCCCGGGGCGGGGGGCTTTCTGGTTGCAGTTTCCTTGGGGTTCCTGTGTTCTGGGACAGCGCCTGGATCTCTGGGACTTGGAGCTCCCCCCGTCTCCTGCGCATCTTTGGGGGGCAGATCTGTGGCCCCTCACACTCTCTATTGGACGCTCCTCTAGAGAAACCTTACATAAACAAGTGCGTGTACACACACAGGTGCTCACATGGTGCTCTCATAAATATGGGCTTGGGCACGTTCAACACAGATCTTAAGGCTATGGTGGGCACTTAATGCACTGTGATTTATTATAGTGTGATTGTTCAGTTAAACAATGTTGATTATATATTTCTTCAACAAGTTGACACAATGATAGCTTGATCTTGTTGTATTGTTGTTGTGTCCCTTTTTTTTTTTTTGCTTTTTTTTCTTGTCTCTTTCTGCAGGTCTAGAAGCAGACTCTTGTTCATTATTGTTTATTTTTGTGGAACCCCCCACCCCCTTCCCCCCTCTCTCCCCACCTTTTGTCTTTTCCTTTCTCTTTCACCTCTGACTCCGTGTCTGGTCGGAATTACAAAGCATTCAAAAATAATAACAATAAAGTTTTAAGTATCAGGCGTGACATTAAAAGCAGATGCTTTGATGCTCCACCTGAGAGTAAATCTGTAAGGCTTGTTACCAGCATTCAGACACCAATTCTGTTTGCTTCACAGCCAGACAGGACACGGTTAAAAAAATAAAAAAAATAAAATAAAAAGAGATGACGTGGCATAGTTTTATACTTCGGATTTTATGGTTTATGGTGGAATGAAAAGTTGAAGAGTTCCCAGACACCATCAAAACCACGCCTCCATCAGATCTGTCAGATTCAGATTGGATCAGTTAAAGTAATGTGTCATGTCTTTTAACGCTAACTAATGAAGTAATTAATGTTTTGATTTCACAGATCGGTCACATCTTATTTATTGACTAACACTTGGTTGGATTAGCTTTAAACTAGAGTTCTTTGATTAATTAAAAGAAAAGTGTCCATTCTTCGTTCTTCTGTTGAGCTGAACATAAGCAGGTTAGAAGCGAATGCATGAGACCTTGAGACCATATCACATGGAGACTAGTCCTGTGTCAGAGGAGGGGGAAAAACAGTTATTTCATTCTGTTACACTTGTCTTGTATAATCATTAGTTTAGGGAAATAGAAATAAATACATTTTTATAAACTATATGCTTGACTCTGTCTGAATTGATATGAAGAGTGTTTATGGTCCCTTTTATAAGCAAAAGAAAATATAATCTTCTGATTATACATTTAAAGATCAGTCAGATTGATATTTCATATTTAGATGGAATTATCACATCTTGTTGATCATTTGTTACATATGTAGCCAATCTTTAATGCTAATCACACATCCACCCAGCCCCGACGCCCCAGACAGAAAGTGAAAAGTGGACATGTCTTGGGAAAAGAGGACGTTTGATCACCCTAATTTAATGGCCATCGGTGATTGATGTAGTGATTGAACTCAGTTCGGACAAACACACACACAGTGGCTGCACACTTCTGGCTTTGGAGACAAATATCCATCCATCCATTTTCTGAACCTGCTTGTCCACGTAGGGTTGCGGGGGGGTGGGGGTGGGGGGGGGGGGGGGGGTGGCGGGCTGGTGCCTATCTCCAGTGGTCAATGGGCAATCAGGCGGGGTACACCCTGGACAGAGAGCCAGTCCATCGCAGGGCAACACAGAGACACACAGGACAAACAATCAAGAACACACACACTTACACCTAAGGACAATTTAGACAGACCAATTAACCTAACAGTCATGTTTTTGGACTGTGGGAGGAAGCGGGACTACCCAGAGAGAACCCACGCATGCACAGGGAGAACATGCAAACTCCATGCAGAAAGATCCCAGGCTGGGAAGTGAACCCAGGACCTTCTTGCTGCAAGGCAAATATGTTTGTTTTAATTATATAGATGATAAAATCTTTTGATTTCGTCTTAGGTTTTGGTTTCATCTAAACTCTTCTGAAGGAGCAGCCGTGGTGCATTCAAGTGACACATCTTTTTCTATAGAGGAGAAGCTTCTGACCAGGTTAGGGTTTATGCAGGTTTATGCTGTCTCAAAGGGATGAGTTAATTTCTCCCAAAAGAAAGAAAAATCATTAGATTTGAAGACCATGCTGGTTCCATGATTAAAATGTTTAAATGATGCTTCTAAAGTGAAAAACAGTTTTCCAACTAAACCAATTTCTGTTAAATGCAAGTTTAGTGCAGAGAGCAGCAAAGCTAAACCTACTACCTCTGCTTAGGTGCATCTCTGTTATTCTGCCATGAATGTAACTCTAAGAGGCTAAATATGTTGTAAAAGGAGCAAATGTGTTGTGGGGTGACAAAAGGAGTTTGTTTAATTTGTTATGAGTGGAGATAAATGACAAAATTATTTAATAGTAAACACAACTTAGATTTTTCCTCATCCATCTGCAGTTAGTTCATGCTTAACTGGGTTTTGGTGATCCAGTTGCCTCCCAGGAAATAGAAAATATACATGTCAGGTAAAGTTGTCCCCTTGTGTGTGTGTGTGAGTGTGTGAATGGTTGCATGTCTTCTTTGCCTTGGTGTGTTCCTGTGATGGACAGGAAACCTGTTATGTCCCAGTACGAACTCTGCTGAGACGGCAGCTCCCCATGACTCTATAGGAAATTAAACGAGTAAGACAGATTAACCAGACACAAATGAACTACAGACTACATGTTTCTATAGTGGAGCCGTGGGGTGTTTATTCAAGGGCTGTGCTCAGTTTGTTTCACATTGTTACGTTTAGGATTGAATTGGTGTTTAATAAATAATGACATGGTGATGTAGGGGTGTTACATCATAATATTACACGACATAAGCTGCTGTCATTGTCATCTGTCATGGAGGAGATGCACTTCTATAAGTGCACTGAATGAAAAAAAATTAGGCGGGGGGTCTATGAGTTATACTAAAGCAGCTGTTCATGTTTCTTCCACTGCTTCATGTCCTAACTCTTAAAGCTGTTATCAGTATTTTTCACTTAAATTTACATATTTTCTTGAGAAGGTTTTCCTTTTCTCTGAATCAATCTTTATTTCTAACTTACAACAAACACTCTTATGAATTGTTTTACTCTCAGCATTTCAATGACAACAGAAAATTAGTTTCAATCCAAGTAAATATTTTACAAGAATATTTAGCTTAAAATTGAGTATTGCCATTTCTGAAGTGAACAAGTTTCTGACGGTAAAAGCTTCAGTTATTCTCTTGAAATATTTATAGCACAGAGGAAAGAAGAAGAAACTCAAAAATAAGAGGAAGTTTCATCAATAAAGTATAGAGCTGTTTCATGTGGTTTTAGCTGCAAATGATAAACACTTTTAGTAAAGTTCCTCTTTAGAAGCTGAGCGTTTCTCACATCATCCTTCATCTGTCTTCTGTTAGAGGAGATCACTCAGTACTGAACGCTGGGAAGGAGGACTTCCAGAATATTCCATAAACCAGAGGTGGGTTGAAAGAAGCAGCTTTTATTGACTCGGGTTTAATACATTTTACATTCAGTATAAATGTCCTGACCCTAAAGTCCTGCATCAGCAACAACAAGACCTGTTTAACAGCAGAGGAAACCTGAGTTCTGCTGTTGCTGCTAGTGAGGCTCAGCGTTTCTCCACCTGATGTTTATGAAGGCCACAGTCAGTGATAAAAGTACCAGCTCAGTGGCCTAGTGGTAGAGTGTCCGCCCTGGGACTGGGAGATCAGGGTTTGATTCCTGGTCGGGTCACTCCAAAGACTCAAAAAAATGGGACCCAATGCCTCCCTGCTTGACACTCAGCATTAAGGGTTCGATTGGGGGGTTAAACCACCAAATGGTTCCCAAGTGCAGCTGTGTCTGCAGCTCAACCCCCCCCCCCCCCCCCCACCCCCCACCCCACCCCCAGGGGATGGGTCAACTGTGGAGAAAAAACTTTGCACACACATCAGTGTGTGTGACAACTAATGGGACTTAAACTTTAAAATATCAGAGTAAACAGAAAATAAACTTAAGACATCAGAGTCACCACTGACAGGTTTTTAATATGTACCGAAAAGATACAGTTCCTGTCTTAAAGATACAAAACTAAACATGGCAGCAAATCAGCCTTTTTTATTATTATAGTCATGTAAATCGATGCTTCTGCTGCCCAAGTAATAGTTTTAAAGTAAAAATAAATGCAAAAATAGAAATGCAAAAAATAAACTACAATAAGGTGAAATCATTCACTTCTATCACGCTAGAAAAAATAAAATAGCTGGAGCCTCATTAATTAAAGCTCATTTGTGCAGACGTCCTTCTTTAAACTCAGAACAATCTTTACTCATCGCAAACACACGTTAGCACTGATAAAACACAGCGTGGACACAGCCACAAGCAGGTCCTGCTTGGCTAACCACCCTTTATTAGGTGTTTCTGGATCACATCAAATTTTCTGCATAAAACTTGCTGAATTTTGCAAAAGAAAAAAGAAAAGTTAATTACAATCAATAGTTCTACAAATGTTGGCCTCACCATTTCTCACATCCATAAAGACACTGTTGCTTTTTAAGAAGCAGAACTCATTCCAACCATCATCACAGAGTTGTCTCGATCCTCTGAGTCTGCAGAACTTTTCTCTTTTTCATCTTTCTTTTTCCTCCAAGTGAAATAGAGACAGATGCTGAGGAGCAGGAGAACAACCAGGAGAAATCGTAATCCACATATGAGTAAAGGTGAAGGAGGCCCTGTTCAGAGACACAATAACAACAAATCACATAAAAATATATAGAAACATGTTTATGGGGTTTGGAATAATCAAGTCCATGTTGAGACTCAGCTTTTATAATTACTGTTAAAAATGTTTTCTAGCTTAAACACCTTTACAAAAACTCATTCAGTTTTTACTGAGTTAATAAATCCATTTCAACCCTTAGCAGCAGAGTCAGCTTTCACTTACTAAAGAACCAAAGGAGATCCTGAGTGTCAGTTTGATTGGAGGACGAGTTAATAGTGGAGGAATAATTTAACTCTGTCTCCTTACCCCCAGTGTGTGTTACTGCTGTAGGGGCTGGTGTTGGTTCTACACACAGAGTGTTATTTTCTCTAAACACCCACTCAGATATGAGAGTCCCATTGGAAGTGCTATTAATGAAAATGAAGACTGGGAGCAAATAAAATGATAATTATCAGTCTAAAATAAATCAAGACTCTTCCCCATGATGCTGTGACTCACCACAGGTAGATATGTCCTTTTCTC